GGGGGGGAATATTGACACTACAGTTGACGTCTCGGTGCGTGACCAAAAGGACGCACGTGCGGGCATTTCCGCCGAGTTGGCGTCACCATCGCGATTCCCTTGCCACTTGCTTCGGACGAATCCTCTTCAACAACAAAGCGTCGCGCTCTAGGAAATCGCCTCTACTACTATCCATGTGCCATGATTGTCCAACCACCGTCACATACGGATACGTTGAAGACTCTACCCTGGCGCCGACCGCGTTCGAAGAAGTCGAATATGCCAAGTTCCTAACCCTAACCCTGACAAGATGCTAACATGGTGCCAGTACTTGTGTTGCTGAGAATCGTGATGCGTGAACAATCGACACTTGCAAATGAACCCAGTGTGCAACGACGACTTACCCGTCTAAAGAAGGGGTACAACGCCACCCGAGCGCCATCCCCATTGTCCTCATCAGAGCCAAGTTTGGCACAATTGGAGCACAACAGGGCCTCGTCGATGCCAGCAGTGCCGTGTTTGCCGTGTCTAGGCACTTGTCCCCGTATCTCCAAGTGAGACAGGGTTCGGCCACGATGGCAAATGGGCACCCAGATGCCAAGTTCGGCCGCTGCGCAATCCAAAGGTTCCTCCACAATGGCCAGATTGGCCTTATCTAGGATGGGGAAACCGGGATAAGCGGCATCCACGAGGTCTGATCGGGTTTCGGCAGCTTACACTGCGGCACGCGGGAACCATCGACAGGCATTATTCATGCTGACCTGCATGGGCCATTCTCGAATCAGACAATTCTGCTTACCACGACACAGGTCACATTATGATAATGCTCTTCTGCAGTGGCGGTATCCTGCAGAGATTACCAGACATGACAACCGAGTCTGGGGTCGTTTGTCAACATGGCAAAAGTTCCCCCCCGCGTTTTGACCCGGCTCTCGCACCCTCGAAAATACTCAATTGAGCCAATGGTCGCTGCCAGCATGGTGTCGTCGTCTTGTTGCGTTGGCTTACGCCGGTCGCGTGACTTGCCCGGATCTGGACCAACATGAATTGATGCCATCAACTTTGCACCATTGGTCTATCGGCGCCGTCCGCTACGAGCAGATCTGAGCTATCATTATCCATGCCGTGTTACCCCGATTTCAGCCTCCTACACCTCCCTGTTGTATCTGCTGCAATAGGAAGGTGCTCTTCCACAGATTGAGAACTGTTGTATGAAGGATGCAAAAAACAAGCACACCGAATCTTGTGCTGCGATAGCAGAGACGAAAGTGGGAAATGCCTGGGCGCGCGTTTATCAATGCATATTTCATATTACAGCCTTGATTGTAGACTTGCTGCTTTGGGTCATGAGCGTATCGTATCTAAATAAAGTCACGTCCCACTTCATTCTGCTGTTCGCTTTTGCGCGCGGACTGCTCGTGCCACTCACCTTCTCCTGAACTTATTCACAGCAAGTGTGTCCTTGGGGACTTCTCCCGGTGTCAATCATGGCTACGAGGCCTTCTCATACTGCCGACTCGGTGAGGAGCGACACTTCTCTCCCCGATCACGCCATTGAAGAGAAAGATGTCAGCAAAACCATCATGAAGGATGTCGACGCCGTTGTGCATAACCTTGTTGAGAAACTTGAACATACGGGCGATGTTATGGCACCAATCGACGACATCGAGTATGTCATGGACAAGATTGAAACCCTGACGGTGCCAGAGTGCAAAGCGATCCTGGAAGAACTGCTCAAGTCGCACGAGTACGACTACAATTTCTCAAACACTCTGCGGCAGAAGCTCGCCGACCTCCTCAAGGGACCGGGCGAGGGACAAAGCACCGCCGAATGGGAGCTGGAGCTTAAGACGGAAACAGCAGTAAACAAGTTCTACTCACCGTATCCCGAGGTGCGAGCCATCAGCACTCCCACCGACGACGTCGACATTCCCTGCGAGACTATCCGTGCTCACCTTCTGGGCTACCTGTGGGCTATTCTGGCTCAGTTCACCAACTCGCTGTTCAATTCGCGCTTCCCCCAAATCACCATCACATCTGCCGTCACGCAAATCTTGCTCTATCCATGTGGACTACTCGTGGCCGCAGTCCTACCAGATTGGGGCTTCACCGTGGGCGGCAAGAGGATCTCACTCAATCCGGGGCCGTGGTCGTACAAGGAACAAATGCTGGCCACCATCATCATCGACGTGGGCTTGACTTCGGCGTACTGCTTCTGGAACATCCAGACCCAGACCGTCTACTACAAGGACAAGTGGCTCACGCCGGGCTACGGCATTCTGCTCCTGCTCTCCACGCAGCTGATGGGACTCGGATTCTCCGGCCTCCTGCGCCGCTTCGTCGTGTATCCCGTCGAGGCGCTGTGGCCCAACATCCTGCCCACCCTGGCACTCAACCGGGCGCTTCTGGTGCCGGAGAAGAAGGAGACGCTCCATGGCTGGAGCATGTCGCGGTACAAGTTCTTCTTCATTGTGTTTAGTGCCATGTTTGTCTACTTTTGGTTGCCTGATTACCTGTTTCCCGCGCTGAGCCTGTTTGCTTGGATGACTTGGATCGCGCCAAACAACTTCAACCTGAATGCCATTACGGGCTCCCAGATGGGATTGGGCTTCAACCCCGTTTCCACGTTTGACTGGAACGTGCTGTCCACCTATTCCCAGCCGCTGGCTTATCCGTTTTTCGCATTCAGCCAGCAGTTTATGGGCACGGTTCTCGGCGGTTGCATCATTATAGCGTTGTATTATACCAACGTGCAGTGGACGTCGTACCTTCCCATCAACTCGTCTGGCATCTTTGACAATACGGGAAGCCCGTACAACATTACCAAGGTTGTCAATTCCGACACGGGGGCCTTGAACGAAGCCGACTTCCAGGCATATTCTCCGGCTTTCTACAGTGCCGGAAACCTGCTCCTCTACGGCGCATTCTTTGCCTTTTACCCACTTACCATGGTTTTTATTCTTCTCGACGCCTGGAGACCGCTCCTGAAAGCGTACAAGTCCATGATGGTGTCTATTCTCACGACTATTCGACAACTTGTCGTGGGGGTGAAAAACGCAGCGGCGTCGCTTCTCAAGGGCAATGTACGAGAAGCAGGCCGGCATTTGTACAACATCATGAATGACGAGACGTCGATTTACGACGCGTTCGACGACCCATTTACAAACCTGATGCGCAACTACCCCGAGGTTCCAGACTGGTGGTTCTTAATGATTGCCTTCATCTCCTTCATCCTCGCCATTGTCGTCGTGACCAACTGGCCTCAGCTTGACACACCAGTGTGGACAATCTTCTTCGTCATCGGGCTCAACTTGGTATTCCTGATTCCAATGTCCTATCTATACGCCATCTCGGGCACAACCGAAGGACTCAATGTCGTCACCGAGCTCGTCGTCGGCTACGCTTTACCCGGACGCCCAGAAGCCCTCATGTTTGTCAAGGCCTTTGGGTACAACATTAACGGACAGGCAGATAATTACATTTCCGACCAAAAGATGGGCTTCTACGCCAAGGTGCCCCCCCGCGCCATGTACCGCGGCCAGATTATGAGTGCCATCATCACGGCGCTCGTTGCCTACGGCGTTGTCCAATTTGCCGACACGCAGATCCCCGGCATTTGCACGCCAGACCAGGAGTCCAAGTTCAACTGCGCCAACGGCTCCCAGGTGTACTTTGCCTCGTCGGTAGTTTGGGTAAGTTGCGCCGTCTGTCCACCTCCCACTCCCAGCGTTAACAGCATTCTAGGGCGCCATCGGTCCCAAGCGAATTTTCAGCCAGATTTACCCTGCCATGAAGTACTGCTTCCTGCTCGGCTTCCTCCTCGCCCTCGTGTGGTGGACCACGAAGCGTTTCGGGTCGCACGTCCGTGAGGCGTGTAGGGCTGCCCTGCCCGCGGCCGTCTTCACACCGCTTAATGTTGCCGTCTTTACGCCCATTTCTTGGCTGAAACATGTCCACCCGTCGCTTGTTTTCAACGGATTGCTGCAGTGGGCGCCGGTCAATCTGACCTACTTTACTGGTGGCTTGTATCTCTCCTTTGCCTTCATGTTCTATCTTCGGAGATACAAGACGGCGTGGTGGGAAAAGTACAACTATGTGCTTTCGGCTGGACTTACTGGTGCCGTGGCGTTTTCGGGCATTATTATATTTTTTGCGGTGCAGTATCACCCCAAGACGATTAGCTGGTGGGGTGTCGATATTGTCTCGAATACGATTGATGGCGGAACCGGTCAGGGCGCTCGGTTGACTGCGATGCCTGCCAAGGGGTATTTTGGTCCGGACACCTGGTCTTAGCTGGACGGCAATTTTGTCCTATATAGAAGATCGTTGCTATAGGAATTTGAGGAGCTATTGGAGTCGTTACCGTTTAGGCCCTCTGGCGGAGAGAACGATGTCTATATAGCCGTGTTAAATACTACTTGGGAGCAGATAGATTCTTGGCCGCCTGGCGTCGATTTGTAGCGATTGCACACTACCTCCATGTTGGAAATGCAAGCAATGCAAATGGTGTGTATTGATAGACGTTCAATCGACTTTGGTAGATGCTGAATGTTCCAACTACCTAAATAAGTGTAGGAACTTTCCTGAAAGCCCAAATCCTCCTGAACACACTTTTTAACCCATTTAAAGATCTATCTTTGCTTTACCAAGTCTCGTCTGGTCGCAAACCGGTTTTCTCTTTGGCGTTCTCCTTGTCCATGCACGCGCTAAAGCAGGGCCGCAATCCGAAATCTCTTTCTGAGCCTTATCACAGAGATCTTTCCTGAATGCTTCAAACTCAGTACGTGTAAAGTGCCTGGAATCGTTGTCTCGCTGGAGAGCAGGTTTGGGTAAGCCAGCTTATCAAGACTTGGTACGTTAGCATATAATGCGTATAAATGCGGCTTGTTTAATGTCTTACAGTCTCTTAACGCTTAGATGTCTCTGGCGACTGGCAATTCTCCTTGCTTGGCGTTGCCTTGGCTGCAATAGAGCATTTAATCGCAATCTATGCATGATATATTTATTAGAGAAGTATGCCAGGTTTCTTTCTTTATGGGTCAAGACCTATATTATCAGGATGTTCTGGATCACGAAAGAGAGGAGCAAATACGTCACAAGTACACTAAGATTATATACCTTATTAGTGACTTTACAACAAAAGTACAGGTTCACCGCAAATGTGCCTCCAATTATGGAGGTCATGGCATTAATTTTTAGAGGATAGGATACCGCTTTTAGAGGATAATTTACGAAGCGCCGGGGCTGACTTTGGTCGGCCCTACCCCTCCATGGCAGTGCTACCCGGTCGGGGCCTTACAGGCACGGCGCTTACTGTAAGTATATAACTAGAAAAGCTACCCTTTTACCTGTAGTTGATATGAGTTATTGGGTATCCCCTTTTTATCTTTTACTAACCACTTAAATATAGCTATAATAAAGAAAGTCTTATATACTTAATATTTCCTAGAATATTATTAGTTAAAGTATATATAATTTATTAAATATAATATTAT